TCATGGTTGCTGGCGTGATGTGTCGAGTTATTGTTAGAGGATGTTCTCCATATGCGCAAGAGAGCGGTCGATATCGAAATGCAGGCGGATACTGGTATGTGGGGATTGTGGTTTGAACGCCACCCGGATGGGTAAGGTGTAAGAGGGCAGGTAAGGTCGTGGACGGCGGTCGAAAACAATGGGGGGATTCTGCAGCGGAGATTCGTGAGGTGAGTCTGTCGGGCACAGGTGGTGGTGGACAGAGAGAGCGGGCTGAGGGCGTGGAGGATGGAGGCTGTGGGTGAAGCAGATGGTCTGAAGAGACAGTTCTTGGGCTCTCTGAATCCGGAGCCATGATGATTATCGATCTAGCTGTGGGTAAGGATGGCGATGTACTCGATTCCCACGACGCCAAGAAAGGTCGTGGAGATCGAGGTGCCTGGGAGGGAACGAAGACATGGTGTGGCGCACCCGGGGCTGGACCAAGCGACGCATCGGCGATGAGCCTCGTCGGTTCACTTGTCTATCGCCCGAATTGGACCCTATCGTAAATGCGACACGAGAGAAGGCCCTGTCTGTTGTCTGACCCCCGATGCTTCTCTGAATCGGTGATCATGGACAAGGGCCCCGCTAGTCTCTATGCGGTATAACGCCTTGCTCTTCCACTCTCCACACGCTAGCTCTGCTCTCCTCTACCCACAGTCTCTCCCACTGCCGGCAGTGCGACCTTCCAGACGCATCCTGTCCTCCGTTCAGACCCATCGCGACTCGACTCAACGGGCGGTGCGACCCGTCGTCGACACAGCGCTAGGTGCACCTGCCTCTCACAAAGGCCATCGAGATTGCTCTCGTTTCGCCCCGGCCAGTTCCAGCCAGCCCCCAGCCCCAGCCTCTCAGCGCGCCCGTGACGGGGATGATGATGTTTTTTTCTTACCGTCGGTTGCTGGACCCTGATTCTGTTGGCGTGATGATGCGCCTAGCGTGATCCACGGAGCTGCTGGATCGAACTGATTGAGACCATCGCTGCTAGCATCCCACCCGACAAGACCCTGAGCTGAGAGAGGTCCGACTAGACTTCTCGCCACCGCGTCATTGGCCGTTCACGCCAGTCATCAGCCGTCATTTGATGCAGAGTAGTACTTGTAGGTGCTACTCCTCAATGCTCTACTCTACATATCCATGTCCATACCCGGCAATGAGCCCCTGGACTGCCCCATTCTCTTCAGCTGCAAAACCGACGCTAGCTGTATTATTTATCTCGACCCCCACCAGCCTTGTGTTCTTGCAAAACGTCATGTGGTGCTGTGTTGTGTTGAAGTCGCCCATGAAGCTCGGGCCGCACATGCTTCCAGCAAACTTCGGCAAGGTCAAGGCGCCGGGAAAAATTTCCGGACGAACCATGCAACACAGTGGTGAGCTAGTAACGTGTGATTGATGACTGCGCCGTTCAAACTGCTACGTAGTCCATCGGCGATGTCCACTTCAACCCCCGCTTCATCGTACGATCTTTGTAACATTCAGAGTCGCAATCGAGATCCCTCCTCCATCACTTCGTCGCCTATTCTGGCTCCGTGGAGCGAATGCGCCTGCATACTATACATATTATTACACAATAAATAAAAATCTGGCACTGGGTGACGAGGCAGATCCGGCCTAGACACGAGCTCCCTTACTTCGAAGCACATTGATGGCAGAATGGCCCGTGTAGTTGAGCCATTCTCCCAGACTGCCCATGAAGCCACCAACCTTCATCAGATCCTGCAGTCTGTTGTCCAGAAACTGCTCAGTCTCTACAAAATTATGCGACTTATCCTGTGTCATGTACAGCTCTGTGGCCGAGTAGATTGCCGAGAGGGTCGCTCGTTTCGTGTACCAGCTACTATCGACACTCTGGTCGCCTGACAGAAACCATATTTCGTCTGCGAGCTTGCCTAGTTCGGCCATGGAAGCAGGGACGTACGTGGGCTGGGACATTATTGCCAGTGCCTGAAAAACATTAGCCGACTGTCCGCGGAAGTGGACCATGAGAGTCATACCTCTTGCCAGCGGTGAATAATGGGTGCATTTGCGCGGAGCCGTGCGACTGTTAACGTCCTAACCTTGGCGCCGGCTCCCATCTTCTTCCCGTTCTCGCTCTCTTCGGGGAACTGGACATTGCTTTGCAAAGCCAATCGCTGAGTGACGAGATGGTAATTGATCAGTTCAAATACGCCTCGTGGAAGCAAATTTGTAGAGATATCGAGGTAGCCAGCATCTCGAGCGCCCAGCTTAAGGGCATTCATGGTGAAGCCATGGTTTGGTACGTGTGCATATGCAGACGAAAGAATTGCCGTTTCAGCGGGGGGGAATGGTGGCGACGAGGGGTAATCGTATGAGTGATACAGACATCGCTGTCGCCATGTTGCGGCTGGGCGAATTGAGGCTGCTCGGCACGTCCCGAACAGCAAAGTGGCCAGGCGTGTGGGTGCCATGGTGGTGGAATCTGGCATTGAGAAAGTTCAGATCAGCCGATAGCCAAAGATGATGGCCACTCGACCAATCTGCCAAGACCGCAATCGATCACATCTTGCACTAACGACGGTCCATGGCGCGCTGACAACCATACATAGGCGAGCACACAAGCGCACGCATCGGAGACAACATGATCCGCTCCTCGCTAGATCCCGCCGTTGCACGCCCACGCCCGCATTGGAGAAGCTTGGCTACTCCATTGGCTTTCCTAAGGCTGAAGGCTGCATCTAGATGATGCACGCGCCAGCACGTGACTGACGCGTCGACCGCGTCTACGCTAGTGGCAATGACGCTGCCCTTGCACTGCGGGAAGACTTCGCCCCCCCCCCCCGATATTCAGGAACACATCGGACGTCCCGCAAATCTTGGAGGCGATAATCAATTCCGGACGCGATTCGTCTGTCACCTTGTTCACATCCCCATCGTAATCCACAGTATCCATCACTGCTCTTCGCGACGGCGCCTCGATCCCCGACGAATCAGTCCTTTCCTTCGTATCGCATCGCATCGCATCGCATCGTATCGTATCGTATCGTATCATATCGTATCACAGAAACAAGACCGCCATGGCGCGCGGGAAAAATGTCGAAGTTAGCGAGTATGAGCGCAAGAGACAGGAAAATATCGCAAAGACACAGGCGCTCTTGCGCAACCTCGAGATGGAGGCTGCGCAAGCAGGTCTAGGGCCTACAGGCAAGGCGAAGGCGTCTGTGCCATTGAGACCAAAAACCAAGAGGCCAGCGCCCAAGAAGATCAAGGAAGAAGAAACTGCGCCGCGTCGAACGTCGTCACGCCTAAGGGGCATCGTGGCCGACAGTGAGGTTGCGAAGCGCAAAGCAGAGGACGAATACGCTGCCATAAAGGAGGCCGACCGCGCAAAGAGACAGCGCATAAGTGATGCATACAACTTCAGCGACATCGTGGTCGCCGGCAAGGACTGGAACAAGAGCGGCAATTTTCTCTCTGTTGGCCCAGCAGATCCATATGCGCGCACTTTTGACTACAATGACGTAAAGGAAACAACGGACAAAGAGCTGAGAGCACTTCGAGAGCGCATGAGTGGGCTGCAGCTTTGGGAGGACTTTGAGCCTAATGAGATCAAAATCACTCCCGAGCGCATCTACTCTATGGGCCTGCATCCCACAACAGACAAACCTCTCGTATTTGCTGGCGACAAACTTGGAAACCTGGGCATATGCGACGCTTCCCAGAAAGCCGCCGAGGTCAAGGTGGAAGATGATGAGGATACGGAGAGAGAAGGGCCTACCATCACAACCCTGAAGCCGCATACACGGACAATACACACGTTCCAATTCAGCCCTCACGATGCCAACACACTATACTCTGCTTCGTATGATTCGACGGTACGAAAGTTGGATCTTGCAAAAGGGGTTGCTATTGAAGTTTATTCACCCTCGGATGCAAGCGAAGAAGCACCGCTCTCTGGGCTCGAGATCTCCAAGGATGATCCGAACACGCTATATTTTTCTACGCTTGACGGCCAATTCGGCATATACGATATGCGTACGCCGTCTGAAAAGGCAGCGGGACTACAAGTCTTCCAGTTGTCGGATAAGAAGATTGGCGGCTTCACCCTACATCCTCTACACCCGCATCTCGTAGCTACGGCCTCTCTGGACCGTACTTTGAAGATTTGGGATCTGCGTAAAATCACAGGCAAGGGGGACGATCGCTTACCGACCCTTGTTGGTGAGCATACTAGCAAGCTATCTGTCTCACACGCTGCATGGAACTCTGCTGGTCAAGTGGCTACGGCTTCATACGATGACACTATTAAAATCCATGATTTCGGGAACTGTGCTGACTGGAAGGCCGGGACGACTTTGGAAGAAGCCGAGATGGAGCCTACGGTTATTGTGCCGCACAACAACCAGACTGGGCGATGGGTTACAATGTTTGTCGGCCCATATATGCAATACTTGCAAACTATGATGCTTACTATGTGTGTAGATTACGAGCCCAGTGGCAACAGTTTCCTCAGGACAATGTGCAGCGCTTCTGCATTGGCAACATGAACCGCTTTGTAGACATATACACTGCAAAGGGCGAACAGCTGGCGCAGCTGGGAGGCGATGGTATTACAGCAGTACCATCTGTTGCAAAGTTCCACCCTACGCTTGACTGGGTGGCCGCTGGAACAGCAAGTGGCAAGCTCTGTCTGTGGATGTAGTAGAAGACGGTCGATAGCAGCCTCGAGGCATTCTATTCTATTGTTGGAAGTTGGGCGCAAAACATTCACCGCTGCTCGCTCCTTCTAGTCTGTTCCCATATCATGGTTCATGCAAGTAGGCTATTGAAACGCACGGTTGCAGCCATGCGAGCCGTCTGTCAAGCTTTTGTTGTTAGTTGAGCGGCCAAATCAAGCAGTTTCTCCATATTGGCTGACAGGGGTTACATGTCATGCGCTCTTTAACCACTGCATGCCTTGGTTGCGATGTGGCATGACAAAACGGTCCTGTGTTTTGCGCTTCAAAGGACCCGCTCCGGACATGGTCGGAGATGCTACGAGGACGCTTCCTTCGTACGAGGGCCAGACGGTGGCAGTGGCGGTCTTGCGGCAGAAACAACAATGGCAGGTGACATTGCTAATGCCCAAGGGGCGGCAATCAGCGTTACCCCAGAGAGGCGCAGGGTCTCGCAAGCGCAATACGAGGGCTTACATAGGCGAAAGGCACTCAGTATTGCATGCAAGTACAGTTATCTGCGGGCATGGCAACAGTAGGAGCGCTAGCCAGACGGGTGTGGCACAACCCCGAGTGGGGAACGGTATGACGATGGGCTGGGTCGTGAATTTGTTCCACCAATTTCGATGATTGCACAGAAATGTCGCCGCATCTGCTGATCGGCTCACAACCCCCAGCTAGCACAAACACGTCCATATTTGCTAGTGATATCACTGGCATCCGGACCAAAATAGCAAGATAATGAGCAGGGGAAGTGCTAGGGAGACACCGTCTTCTCGGGATGCAAAATCCCCGTCCAGGACTGCCTAGCAAGCAAAAGCGACCGTCGCAAACGAACGGGTACCCAATGGCATCATACTCTCCACTTTGGATCCCGCCATTTCGTAACAGTGGCAGAGAGATATTCCCATCGGAGGTCGACGGAGTGAGGTTGCTTGCATCATCGCATGACTTGATGAACATTTGTACTAGTCAACACGAGAAGATCACCATCACCGTCGCTCGTGTTCGGATGGGAAGGGTCGGGTACGACGGTTGTTCTGGGCAATCTCAATACAACACAGCGGGTAGCCCCACTGAATTTGCTCTATCCTTGTGCTAGCGTTGGTTGATCTTGACCCAAGTCGTCAGTGGAATGAGCTTAGCCAGTCGCGTGTGACCAGGGTTCCTCTCCCAGAGACAGGGCTGTGTGCTCTGGATAGGCGCGCAAGCGACTCCGCATACACGCAATACGGCTCCATGCGATGATGAAAGGTCATGTTACATGGTCCCGCCCTGTGTGTAATATAAAGAGACGTCGACAACACCTCCAGCAGGACCATCAACTCAGCTCTACCACTTCACAACACCTCGACTCTAATACCTAATCATCTACAATCACCTGTTTGTCTCCAGCCTTTCAAACATCAACACCGTCAAGATGAAGTACACCACTGCTCTTGCCTCCCTCTTCGCTGCCGCCATGGCAGCTCCTACCGCTGTTCAGCCTGTTGCTAGGCAAGCAGACACCAGCGCCTACTTCACCGTCATCTCTCAGCGCAGCGCCTCTCCCATCCACTTCCAGAACTTGAACGCCCGCGGCGGATCCTTCTACCTTGGTGGAAAGGGAGGACCATCTTCCTACTGCCCGTCAGAAGTCATTGGTGCTGAGAACTGCCCACCAGGCAACACGACCACATTTGCTGGTGGCAACAACACTCTCAGCCTCGGCGTTGTTGTTCCCGGTGGCCAGCAGGTCTACGTCGGCCCTGACGGTTCCCTGAGCTACACCACCGCTCACTCTGCCTACATCCCCGATGGCTCGACCGTCACCGGCTTCAGCCGCACCCCAGCTCCCAACAGCGACGAGTTTGGCTATCTGAACTGGGACTGCGGCTTCCTTGCCTGCCCTGGCTCCGAGGATGATGGATGGAAGGTCTACGGCAAGCTCGACAACGTCACCTTCAGCGACGAGTGCCTCTCATTCAGCGCCATTGCCGGTAAGTTTGAACCTTGTTCTAGTCTACTCTTTTTGGAACACGCAGATTACTAACGTCTTGTGAATAGCTCCCGTCGATGCCCCTGGCGCCTGGCAATACTAGATGCCTTGCCCTTGCGATTCGATTCATACCAAACAAAAGTACATATAGAACGATCGTATTGTATCATGGATACATTAACGTAATTGGTAATTTCGCAGAAGAACGGATATAGCTATAGTGTATATACAACGCTCCTTAATGACTTGTACATGACAGTCGTATAATGATAATAAGTTAAGAACTGGCAAGAGTTGACTTTTTGAATTCTTACGTGATACTAGTGATTTTCTACTACTACTGGACTCGTTTTGTTGCTAACCCAAAAGAATAATATTGTATTTAAGTTCCGGAAACTTTTTGTAGCATAACTTTCACCCTTTCGACTTGTTCTTCGGGCGCTTCTAGGAGACTTGCCCGAACAGCCACCGTCTTATCCCTGCTCTTCATACCCTTGATAACCTCGACATCCGACTTTGGTACTCCGAGCGCATCAGCAACGACTCGCCTCACAGCTTTGTTGGCCTCACCGTCTCTCGCCTGGGCTGCCACACACAGCTGGATGCGCTCGTCTGAAACGGTAGCAATACCCTCGCGATTCGCACTGACACCCGGCTTCACATGACAGAGTAACTGAATGGTGCCCGTACTTGGCCTGGCCGCCACTGCAGCGACAAAGCGAATAGCTTGACCGGACATTGTGCGATAGTGGATATAAGGGTATTGGCAATTATGCAATCGGTGTATAACCAGAGGTCAGGTGTTGCGAGGCTGCAGCTGGGCGAAGATAACAACGGCCAGGGCGGCGGCGGCAGCGGCTGAAGCGTAGGAAAATGGGCGCAAAGCCGACTGCACCCGCCGTTTCCCAGCACGGACTAGCGCCAATGCAATCCATCCCACTCGTGCTTGTGCCCGCAACACGGCATCCCGTCCGTCTGCCTGGCCCGCCTCAATTGCCCTACACCCACACATTTACAAGTAACTTATACTTACAACACATACATGCTCTGTTCCATTTGCGCATATCCCAAGCACTTTTGTGTTTCCTCGGCTTTCTAGCCCTCTCTACAAAAGTGATCAAACATGCCACCTACCTAAAGCGACATGGCTTGCCTCGGCCCTCTTGCTTAGTGGTGGGCCCGCACCATCTGTTACCAGACCTTCCGGGCCCGACTACTTCCCCTAAGTGATAAATTTGACGAGAGCCTCAAGTTGCTCTTCCCCTAAGTACAGGTGTACACGATGGCCACGAAAAATCAGCGACACATAATTACCTAACAACCGAGACCCGTGCCAGAGATAAAAAGGGCGCCCCGCGTCTCTGCCCTGCTTTTGTTGTCGTGTTATCTTCGCATCTCGCGGTTTCCTTTTTATTTATTTATCTTGTTGAATACCTTAGACTTGAGTCTTGGTAGAGGAGTCTTGTATATTTGGACAGCTACTTTAGCATCTTTTGAAATCCCCCCACTATATATCGTGTCCTGCCGTACTAAAGCAAATCAACGCCAGGTAAGACCTCCATGCTCCTGCGTTCAGACGTGGTCTTGTTTTATCTCTTTTCTTTTCTTTTGGCAAGCTGGAGGTTTCCGAGTCGCACTTCCGCAACAAAGAACTTTGAACAACAAACATTCTGCACACTCGACTCTCCTGCACAAAACACTGTGAACGACCGTATTAACATACCTTTTCAGTAAATAAAAATGACTTCTGCACCAACAAAACAGCCCAACTTCTTGCCTAGTCGGCATGAGCTGGGTATCGTCGCGGTCGGCTTCAGTGGCGGTCAGGTAAGCCTTTCTTACACAACAATCTTACACGTACACTGTACCAGCAACTAACAACACCATGTCCAGCCCAAAGCTGGTGTCGATGCCGCCCCCATGGCCCTCATCGAAAACGGCCTCATCAAGCAGCTAGAAGAAGACCTAGAGTACAACGTCACCTACGACGGCCAAGTCCACAACTACTCTGAGCTCCAGCCAACCGAGGACCCTGACTACCGAGGCATGAAGCGCCCCAAGTTCGCCAGCGCCGTAACCCGCGAAGTCAGCAACCAGGTGTACAAGCACGCCAAAGACGGCAAGCTCGTCCTCACCCTCGGCGGCGACCATTCCATCGCCATCGGCACCATTTCCGGTACCGCAAAAGCCATCCGCGAGCGTCTCGGCAGGGAAATCGCAGTCATCTGGGTCGATGCCCATGCTGATATTAACACGCCTGAGACGTCTGACAGCGGTAATATTCACGGCATGCCTGTTTCTTTCCTAACGGGCCTTGCGACTGAAGACCGCGACGATGTTTTCGGGTGGATCAAAGAGGAGCATCGACTCAGCTTGAAAAAGCTTGTGTACATTGGTCTACGGGATATCGACAAGGGAGAGAAGAAGATTCTGAGAGAGCATGGCATCAAGGCGTTTTCTATGCACGATATCGACAGGTAAGTTTCTGACTCCGCATTTGAATGTACCGTGGCTAATATCCTCCCTCTCTTTGCAACAGGCACGGCATCGGCAAGGTCATGGATATGGCGCTGGGCTGGATCGGAAGCGATACCCCCATCCACCTCTCCTTTGACGTCGACGCCCTCGATCCCATGTGGGCACCCAGCACCGGTACGCCTGTCCGTGGCGGTCTCACGCTAAGAGAAGGCGACTTCATCGCCGAGTGCGTTGCCGAGACGGGCTCGCTGATTGCGCTTGATCTTGTCGAGGTCAATCCTAGCCTTGACGCCGAGGGTGCAGGCGATACTGTGCGTGCCGGTGTGTCGATTGTTAGGTGTGCACTCGGTGATACGCTCTTGTAGGCTTTACCATGCACGTGAGAGGGTGGGTTACGCTTGGTTACGAGGTCATGTACGATGGCGTTTTCTGGCGTCCATTTTTTTTCTGCAAGTGATTCCGGGTATAGAAGGGTCTCTCTCTCTCTCTTTTTACTTAGACCAAAGTCCTTTTTTTTCCAAGATAAGATGGTATGAGGTAGATTACCTAGATCAATGGTTTCTTGTTCATTGCTTGCACTCTGCGATGGTGGGGTGTATAGGGATCTTTGTGTTATCTGAGAAGAAGAAGAAGAAGAAGAAGAAGTCAGGACCGATGATGTGCTTTTACGGTTCAACCGCACATGACAATGTATGGGTTGCGTGAAATGGTGGCAACGAGTGTGACATGTTTTAAAGCGATGTTAGATGTTAACTTGACGATTCTATGTCACTTTTTTCCAACTTTGGAAAATCAAATAATAGAGTAGTTGGACATGGAGACTTCCAATATTTTCTTTTCGTCTTCTTTGGGTTGCGTGTAGAAACGTATTGTTCTACACAACAGATTCAATGGTGCAGGTGTAAATGTGTTTGAAGGTCAATGCAAGTAGTTACATGAGTATGTACGTTTCGGTTATGCCTATCGATCTAGCCTAATTTTTTTTAAATATCCCGATTCCGGTAGTTTTTTTTTGGGGGGGGGGGGCGGTCCGTCGTTTTCGGAGGAAAAAAAAATATTGTGACATGATGTACACTAAATAGATGCAAAACAATCAAGTCATAGACCTAGCCTCACTCAAGGCGATTCATGCATGTACACGGAATGTTTATATTTGAAATGTACATGTATGGGGAAGTCCGTGTAGTTTGGGGACAAGAAACAGGTGTTGGAGATGGCTTCGTTAAAGGTGATGTTTTGTATTTCCAGGGGACAGAAAAGTAATGAAGTACATGTCGTGCATCAACATGGGTGCTAAGGAATTAGAATGGTGACTCAACGCAACGCTTTTTTTAACCGGTGGGATCGAGAGTGTCGCGATATGGTCAACACAGGCCTGTGTTAATCGTATTACTGTCGTTGATTCGAGACCAAGGCTTTAATTGGAAGGTGTAAAAGATGCTATGGAAAACTCCACACGATCAACGTCACAGCAAGGACACGATCTACTGGAACCCGGGTTTCCAGCTGAAATATATTGAGAGCGGCACGATCTAACTAGCAACGTTCAGCTGAAAAATTGGTGGCTTGCAGCTCGAAAGCGAAGAATACGACGACACATCCAATCAGCGTTTGTACTCCAAATCGATACTTGTGAACAGCAACGTCGTTCCCGTCCCGCATAGCAAACAATAAACACTTTATCTAGCTGACTCACCCTTTGATCTCGATACTCACCAATTCCCAAGATTTACGCCCAGGAAGGAAGAAAAAAAATAAACAATGCATTTCCAATACACCCTCTCTCTACTATTCGCCATTACGGCACTTGCCTCGCCATCACCAGAGGCTAACAGCAACCCCACCCTGAGCAACCGCGACAGTCTCCCTCTTGACAAACGAGCATGTAGCTACAACGGCTGCGCCTGTGTCAGCGGCCTTGCTGCAGGCGTCTACTGCGGTAACTGCGTCGTCGGCGCCGGCACGTATGCGATACGCACCAAGCGCGTCAGTACCCACGCATACCAGTGCAACTCAAGCGGAGGATGCTGCGACTACGGCGTTGCGAGCGATTGTGGCAAGAGCGGTGCGAGGTGCCGACAAGGTTCGCCGAATTAAGTGAAGCGCCCTTGTATGAAGAACTACCATGCGTGTGTTGAAATCCAGGAGGAGAATTAGTTGGAGTACGTAGGATGCGTTTGTGATGTGGGGGGGGGATCAAGGGGACCAGGGTGCGCGCCTTCGTACTACCACTTCCCCAAAAACATCCGATTACTAGTTAGAGTTCAAGATACAACAACCTCATCTCCTAATCCCATCACACATGTGACATCAACCCTGTACCTGCGTCTTCCACAACAACCAGCCCAAGGCATTAAACAACGGACGTATCATCGACCCTCCAATCCCAGAAAATGAAGCATAGTAGTATAAGCACTAACTTACCATCGTCGCGACCAAGCCCCGAAAAGCGGTAATCCACGCCTGTCCAACAATCTCTACGCCAAATCTCCCCCAAGAAAAAAAAACCGCCGAAGAAGACGGTATTGTTCCGCTCGGCAGTTAACTAGCCAGATGGATAGATACTCGCACCGCGGCCTTGCCCAGCAAGCCCATCTACTGGCCATACTTTCATATGAGCTATATTGTCGTATAGCTATAGTAACTGCTCGATAGTTGTATAATACCTCACATACTGTACGTATGCATGCAAGTCATAGATACACAAGTTATGCAAATCACACCCACACACACCCACACACACCTATCAACGCACACCGCCACCCTTTACCCTGCCTACGCACCCCCCACCTCAACGCCTCATCCACCCGCCGCCCTGCACCTGCATCTGCGCCCAACAAAAAAGAATAAGAAGGGAGGGGACATTTCTTCCGTCCCGTGTCCCCCCCCCCTACGTCACCTTTCTCCCGGAAAAATAAAATCAAAACAAACAAACAACAGAAAAGAAAACAAAAGGGTACACACATGTCCGAGTTGAAAAAAAAACAAAAAAAGCTTACTTCAACTGTACACCTGTGACATGATGTTAGAACCTAACTAACCAACTTCATTCCCTTTTGATTTGCACGTAATCCACGTCCTTGCCGTTCATCTCGGGGAGATTTTTCCGCTTCGTTGGTGCCTGAACTTGAGACAAACGCGGTGGCTCGCTCGGAAGGGGATGGGGTAGAGAGGAGAAGAGGCGAGTAAGCACCGAGGGTAGGTAAGGAAGTAACTGGCCTTGGTTGTATATTAGCATTACATGGGTGAGCGAGCTGTTGCCGGCTGTGGACAGACGGGTAGGACAAGTATCTAGTAGGGGGGAGGTTGCGGCGAATTGAATTGAGCGGAGATGTCTTGCTGGCGGGCCGGGGATATCGACTATTTCGGCATAGGGGTGCGTTTAGGATCGAGTGAAGTCAAGGATGGCCGAAGAAAAGGGCGGTCAGATCGGGGGACTGGGAGAAGAGCGGAAGTGCAAACGTCACCAAGATTGAACAATCACAAAAGTCAAGACATCACAAGCAGAGAATAGGAGATAGATCCAAAGGTATAATGTAGGTGGTCTACTGTTAATTGTGTTGCCTATTCTTTTCAAAATACAGCCAAAGAATCTATGAACAAGAAAGGCCACCTGGACCACACGACTCCCTCCATAGGGCGACTAAGCATTCCAACCAATGCGTATTACAATACCAAGTATTATATCTCCATCGAAATGCTGCTGCGACAGAATTGCGCAAGGAAGCAGGGGTTCGTACAACAACCAAGGCGCTCCCAATCCTGGACTGAATCGTGATGCAGAGTTAAAGTCGTAACCCGTGAAGCCATATTGTTAATCACCCTCCTCTTTCCGAACTCAAGAATAGACAGTAGCGACACGACAAGTCATGTCACAACAAACCACTCAAGAGCGAGGTGCTTACAAGAAAGCAGCGACGGCACCAGCGATGGCGAAGAAGCCAACGGTGGCCTTGCCGGCGGCACCAGTGAACTGGGGAGGAGCAGTCTTGGTGGGGGTGGGGACGCTGCCAGTGGCGGTGCCGGCGGCGGGGACAACGGGGGTGGAGCCGTTGGTGGCAGGGTAGTGAGGAGCCGGGGGAACGGCGGAGTAGGCAGGAGGAGTGTAGGCGGGCTTGCTGACGGCAGGGACGGGGACAGCGGGGGTGGACTTGGCAGGAGCCGGGACGGAAGGCACCGGGGTGTGGACGTAGGTAGCGGTGTACTGAGGGATGCTCAGGGTGCCGCTAGCGGGGACGGTGTAGGTGCTGGGTCCGTAGGTGATGGTGGTCTCCTCGGGGCAGACGTAGGTGGTAGCAGAGATGACCTCGGTGGTGGTGACAGCGGGAGCCGAGGGGGTGACAGCAGGGTAGCCAGCAGGGGAAGAGGGAGTCTCAGCGGGGTAGGCCTCCTCAGAGCTGGCAGGGTAGCCGGCAGGAGCAGAGCTGGCAGGGTAACCAGCGGGAGCAGAGCTAGCCGGGTAACCAGCAGGAGCGGAGCTGGCTGGGTAGGCGGCGGGAGGAGAGCTGGCTGGGTAGGCAGCAGCAGGAGAGGACTCGGCAGGGTAAGCCTCGTAGTGAGGAGCAGCAAGGGCAACGGCGGCGAAGCCAGCAACAACGGCGAAGGAACGCATCTTGAGTGTTGAGGGGGTTGGTATTAAATACGGTTGGTATTAAGTAGGGGCGGAGGAGGTCGTAGAGAACGAATGTAATCGGTGATAACCGGGTATTAGCGAGTGTAGTGAGTGTGTGGTAGAGAAAAAACTCAAGAGGCCGCCGGGGAAGACATTATATACAACTGTACACGACCTGACCTTGCCGAGAATGCTCACCCCCATCAACAGGGGCACTTAGACGTGGCCGTCTCCGTTCGGTAGCATCACAAGAGTTTTAGCGTGGCGTCGGGGTAGCGCCGCGGTGCGGGCTGTGCGTGGAAACAGTACGGAATAGGGGGAGGTGGTGGATAGCGTCGACATTGGCCGCCGTTATGAGTCGTTTATTGATACGTGCTGGGCGAGCCAATTAGGGCGAGGATGCTGGAAAGAAACGAAATGAGCTTGACATCCTCCCTACCAAGCGACTCATGTCGTCTCAGGATCTCGACTCCCATGCTAACTCTTTCGGGAGCCCTGTCGGCTAGTGAGCGACTTGTGCACGCCGAATCTGCTCAATCACCCACTAGGCGCGATTCTCCTGAAGCTTATGGTCGCCAGCCGCAGGACGGCAGAGATGCGGGCTGCACAAACATGCAAGAGGGCGACGCCAATGTTGAGCGTCTTGGTCAAGTGGATTCAGTTACGCGTCGTGGCATCTGTAGGCCACACCGCTCTTGGCTCCATCACTGAACACCTGAACAAAGCGACGGTTGAGGGATCATCTCGAAGGGCTAGCATTGCGACACACCCGAGGCCCGTCAGCCCCGAGATTCGCTGTGTCCACTCATTTACATATCGAGGGACCTCCCCGCGTGCGCGCAAAAATAGCCACCTGCTGAAAGGAGAGGGCGCGAATTCAAGCCGTCTGTAACTGTCGATGCAATGTCATTGGCCCATGCTCCCAGTGGATATTGACGGGTTCCTGCATCGCTGCAGGCTTCTAGACCTTTGACTAATCGAGCGAAGGACCGACCGACATGCGCTGGTTGCTGGTACATAGCCGTATGAACACTTGTGTTGCACATACATAACAGTGGCAGCCTGGCGGAGCGTTGTATATACATATCCAAGTAGAGTGAGTGGTTTTTGTCAGACGTCAGAGTAAGGCTGTAGTTGCGCGTGGCTTCTACGCTGTAGTCGTTTTGACAAGCTTCTTCTGCAGTAAGTCGGGTCAGGCGTGACCCGTCACCGGCTGACGAGCGGCAACACGTTCAGGCGGAACCGTGTAATCTCGCATCCAGTATCGCCTCAAGCGGCGCATGGATCTAGTGGGCGCTACAGTAGCAGTAAGCTCTTACGCATTGATCGCGGCATCGGCTTACCTATATCGAAATATGTTAAGCAGCACATAGTGCACCGCGTAACACGAGCATCTCGATCTCCACTACCATGTGCGGACTTACCCCAAGCGGTGGTCATTTCCTTGGGTCCAACAAAGCGTGTCGAATCGCGGTGAGAATGGTGAGGCGTAGCGTCGTGTTGGTGAAGGTGGTATTGACGGTGAGGGAAATCCAGGCGCGCGCTAGTCGCCCCCCTGTCTCGAAGTCACGCCGCCCAGGCAAGAGCCCCTCGCCCCTCAGGCAGCACGAGCAGCCTTGCTCTTCCATGCTGCCAACTCACCGGACGCCATTGTTCTTCCCCAACGCCACCTATCCAGAATCTGCCTCCGACACCTCTTGTCTGCTCAGACGCCATCACCGCCATCACCGGAAACTAACGTGTCAACCGCGCCTCCAAGTCTCTTAGCCATCGGACGGCCTCTCCGGCTCCGTTGTAGAATGCCAAGAACCCAACCCGCCGTACCAAAGGGATGGGACGGACATGCCATTTACCTCCATGCCCCTTCATACTCAAAGAAGCTCTCCCGTGAGAAGCTCATGACAGTCGTATTCCCAAAATTCCATCTGGACCCCAATGTACCAATTTACAAACCTAGTGGACCATACACCAATGTCAAGATTACCCCAGTCACAGACTCTGCTCATCCAGCGTTTGGGCAACATGCTCTCTGTGCTAACCAGCAGCTCCCCCCAGACTCGTTCATCCTGCCATATCTAGGCTATGTTCACGATCAGACTGATACCAATGAAACATCCGACTACGACCTCTCACTAGACCGAGAACTCGGTATCGGCGTCGATGCGTCGGTGATGGGCAACGAAGCCCGCTTCATCAACGACTACCGAGGAGTCTCGTCCGCGCCCAATGCCGAGTTTCGCGATATACATGTGGACTGCGGAAACGGCAAGGTGGAGAAGCGAGTCGGCGTGTTCGTCCTCAGTGTTGGCAAAAGTGGCAAAAGGGCAAAGGGCATTGCCCGTGGTCAGGAAATTGTCATCAGCTATGGCAAAGGTTTCTGGTTGGAGCGACAGGCAACTGAAGAGTGACGTTCTTGTACGTCTTTTTGAGACTTTCGAAATTACTACATCAGTTGTTCTACTCCCATCCAACCAAGGCTTGGTTTTGGACGTAAAGCATTCTATCAGCCTAAACACGCCTATGCCGAAAGACACGTACACCTGGAAGTGACGGACTTCGAAATCTGCAGGTGCTCGCAAATTGGACGCCTCTCTAAACGAAAAGCCGGGAATTCCATGCAGGTTCCCTGATCGCATCACCGCGTACCACTTAGATTGCAGCACATTCCTTTACAGACCTCATTACCCATGTGCGACTCCAACGTGGCGTTTTCATGTGACGTGCGGTACGTTGCATCAGCGAAGGATTTGGACCTTCATCTAGAAGCCGTGTCTATGGTCACAACCCGAGGCACTTCATTCGTGGAATATGATTAGTGCTGAAGGGTTGGACAGGAACGTCACCGCTAAGCCGGAACCCGGCACACGTGCGAGACTGAGCCACAAATGTGGCGTTCAAACCTGATTTCCGCCCCATAATCACGTAGGCCTGCAATCGTAGCAATCAGATGCTGTGCTCAGTGATCCGGATGTCTCTAACCTGGCTGGAAGCTCAAGCTGAATGTCTTACATGGGCATCTATTCGATAAGCTGATGGTGATTTGTGAGGCGTGTCTGAACTATGCCAGGGGTCCTTTGTCGAGATGTGCGGCTGGGATAATTCGGGTTTTAGCCCGACGTCATCTCTTGTAACGCATGGGCAATTTCGCACCATGATGGAATTGTGATGGCACTGAGAAAATTGCATACAGATATGTGTCGTTATCTTCACTTTTTGAGCTGTGAGAGGCAACTCACTAACGTTTTTCTCAACAGCCATGCAGGTACAGCACGCAATCACGATCTTCGTTGGGACTTATCAGTGGGCTTGTTTGAACGATCGCGATTCTACTCCGAGGGTCCTAATTCAAGTCCCTACCGGTGACGTGATTTCGCTTAGCCGCCCCCTCACAACACATGCAGATCAACAAAAGGGACGACTCTACCAATCACAATACCACCCACCGAAAGCCCCTGGCTATCCTAACTGGGTAGCTCGAAACGTGCGCGGCTGCTCAAAGCCTGGAAGGGCGGATTCAGCCGCGCCATGTCTTGGATGGGCTCTCCCCACTGGACGTCATGGCCTACTCAGCTCTCGTTGCAAAGTAGTTAAGTTGCTTGATGGCCATAAAGCTTGAGGTTGTCCTTCTTTGTCAAACAATCTCTGGAATCAAACCATCATAAACCACTCTCGTCCCACAGCTTGCGCGTCACCGTCACCAAGGCTTCACAGCAGCATCACCTTGTCGTCCCGGCTCCACTTCGATCCACACACTGATTAGGCTTTAGTACCCACCTTTCTAGGGCCTTGCCGATCTCCCACCACGCAACGCTCTTGGCATTGTCAAGAAGTATATCTATCAGGGCCTAACATCCCCACACAATCAGAAACCAAACCTTGCAAACCGCCAACAATGCAAATGCCAGACGATACTAAGTTGAACGACACTATGAGCCCCATGTCGAGGCCCGCTTTGTGTCGGGTAAGTGCATCTATGGTAATCTATGAAGCAGTATGTACTAACACTTGCGTCCAGCATCAATCGATGCAAAAGTACATGCTGCTCTCCGCGCAGAAAGAAGCTCTCCAACGCCGTATGGCCATGGAGATTCCCTTCAACGCACCTATGACTCCCAGCTCACCCGAATTTCAATCTCTTTCGTCATCTCCTACGTCCTCGAAGTACTCCTCGCCGTTTCCAACAGCGAGTGACCCAATCCCTATCAACCCCAGGACAAACGCGACCCCACGTACCAGTGTCGACGACATACACACGGAAGAGTCTCAAAAGCTTGCTGAGATCAACCAGCAGATTGTGGCCACTCTTACTGAGCTCCTCAATACCGACTGTATCCGCAACGATGAAAAGCAGCGCGCCTGGATCCAGGAGCGTCTCATGGAAGCAGAACACCAAATACGCCGTGAGCGTCGCCGCCATTCGTCAAATGTAGGCGGCGACTTTGCGTCTGCTATCGCCCAGCATCTTGAGCTTGGTCTCAATACATCCAAGACCTGGGCGTGAGGTCGAGCCTTTACGATGACGTTTTTCATACCTCTTCAACCTATCACCTTGTTGATATTTGTTTGACGTATTCACAACTGCAACGTGGCTATGGCTTATACGATTTTTTTTAGCGGGCACAAAGGCGCATGGATATCTGGCGCAACGGGTTCTGAAATGAAGTGCTCAAATCAGGAGAGAAAAAAAGATGATACCCCCCCACTACTGATGGTTAATTCATCAGCGATTTGAACTGCTAGGTTCTTGAATCATCATTTTACTATGTAGTTTTACTGTTTTAGCAAATTACGATCGTAATGATAAATGTTTGTACACTTTGATGTTCTCTCTAAAATGCCTTGATTTCCAAGTTTCTAGTGCTATACGTTCCTTGATTCTTTTATTGCCTTTGTCCACCACGTGAAATAACCTTTGTGTCCGCGTGGCACTTCTTTTAGCAGGGGATTGCTAACCACAATAACCACCTATCCCTCTCTCCCTCTTCCCTCTTTTTTCTTTCTCCTCACCCAATAGGAACACCCGGCGGCGCGCTGCGGATGTGACGGACCCTGCATGTTTTTTTAGGTACCCCGGTACCCTGGAAACATCGTGCATCTAACAGGGTTGTTATCTTTTCTTTTACCTCCCAGTAAACAGGGTGCGAAGGAGCGAAAGTGATGAGCGCATGGTGCATTTTATTTCTCCGCTTCACTAAACTGGGATTTGACCGCTTGTAGTCCGCCTCTCCCCCTTTTCTTCTTCTCTGTCTGTGCCTTATGCTCCTTGCGTATGTGGGAGTCGTGCGGGATAAAGCAAGTATATGGAAACCGTGGGTGCAGTGATAGCGTATGTTGCTAGTTGTTTGTGGGCGGATAATAATGACGTCAGATATCCTGTCTTTTGCTCCTTTTTGGTAACTATTTCGTGAACCAAGCGCGTGTGTTCCTTTGTTTTTGTTTTCGCTCGGATGTTTCTTGCGAAAAAAGCTCCGCAGTGCTTTTTTTCCTTTTCAACGGGACGGCTTAGGAAAAAAAGAAATGTTTGCGGGATTTTGGCACGTTGTGCAGATAATGGTTTACGTATGGTTCCGTGATTCACGCCCTGGCTACGCAATAGGATGTTAATTATCTCGGTAGATTTTGTTTTTGTTTTGACGTCTATTTTACCCCTCGTTTTGGGGTGGGGGATGTGGAGATGTGGGTTAAGTCATCCAGCAGATTTAGGATGGTGGAGAGAGACGCCTTTGGGTCCTTTGATCCCAAAGGCTTGACTACAACGCACGTGCGATCAACTGCCATGCTGCAGCTTTTTCCGCTTCGTCCTCTCTGTAACGAGAAGATTACAAATGTAGCCCTTCAAATTTCTCTGCGTCATTCTGCGTGTGAGGCTAGATGCGCCTTTTGTTCTGGTAATTTTAGAGGTGGTAAAGTTTACAGCGCCAAAGTATATGGGTGCACTCCTTGTCATCTCCCCCATTCATTGCTACACTAGACTTGAATCGCGGGTCCGCATTTGTCAATCAGCCTTGTTTACGATGATTCGCCCTGGGCCAAGGAAGATCTCTGGCGTCTGTGTTCCGACATTCCGACGCGCCGACTTTTGTCTTTGGTACCCTGACTCTTTCGAGGCTGGGGCTAACCGGGTTCCATGTGGGAGTTGGCGAATCAAGAGATACGCTTCGTGAATAAGCACAATTGAAATGCATCACCAGTAGGTTGGTCATGGCCAATCGATCGCACTCGGACTCTTTCCAATGTATTCAATTCAATGCGAGGTCTCGATTTGACAGATCGTTTCTTCGGAGCAAAACAAAGTTTACTCTACGAAATGCCGCATTGGCACATCAACACTCACTCACACTGCTATGAGTCCATCTTGTGCTCCGTTATGCGCCATGGAACTCGCCTTCCGTCAGCGCTTGGAACCACGAGTGCTCGTCCATGCTGTTTCCATCAAGAGGCGTGCCTCTAGTGCTGTCACGGACCTCGGCCCCGGCGAGCGCTAAATCAGGAGGCGTAGATCGAACTGTATCCAAATGAGCAAGGCCCGCTGCCGCAGAAGTCGCACCTCTCGTCACCAGCAGACCGGCTGTCTTTGCACCGCGAGTATCGAAATCTTCAGCCACTTTATTTACCAATGCGACAGTCGAATTGTTGAGCAACGTCAGTGCAGACCCGAGAAAATCTGCTGATTTACTCGACAAGCGCAGCATCCACTTGTATTCATCTAGCTTCTTTCGGTACTGGGCTGCTTCGTCCTCAGTATTGGATGTCACCCACAAGAGAGATATGAATGAACCGATGAGGACAAAGCTGTACTTTGACGCAGAGTACCAGAATGATTGGTGGTGCTCAGGCCGCAGGGACTGAACAAATCTCATGGCCGAAGTGAGTCGTGTTTGTGCTGCTTGCCGGCAGATGAAGCACAGCTCTGCATCATCTGCCGACGACAAAGAGCGGATGATACGCCGATGTAACGTCATTTCGACGGCATAATAGCCGAGGTGAAGATAGCCTACACTGGAAAGTTTTCTCGCAGCAATGTCTTGCATTTTGAGGGTTGGCGGCATGTCGGCATACCATTGACGCAGGGCAAGCTGCAGCGGCTTTGCAGTGTCGAGAAGCGAGCGCACGCCTTCACTCGCATGGCAAGCAAACTCGCGTTCAGCCTTGATCGTGTAAAAGGTTGTTAGGATGCTTGCCAGAATCTTTGTGAGCTCGACCATGTAGCAGAATAAGATGCGACCTTTCTCCACCTCTGTGCTTCCGTCTTCGTCGTCTTCATCTGCGGCATTTTCAGGGAAGTCACATTCGTTGAGTGGTTGCGCCTCCCAGTCTGATGGTGTGATGTGCGAGGGTCTGCCATGGATGAGAGAGCCCCATTTGTCCTGCATGTATACAGCCCACGCCAGGCGCTTTCGAAGCCCCCGCTCCCAGCCTGGAATGTGCCATTCTGTGCAGTCGAGATGGAGACCCATGTCTTGAGCAAGGCCAACAAGTTGCGTCGTCATCGCCCAGCTATTCCCCTCGTGTCGCTGGAGAAGCAGTAAACCTGCCTGTATGGTCGAGAGCTTGGGCCGATGGACAATATTACAATACGATCTCATGGCTAGCTCCTCGAGATAAGACACATCCGGTTTCGGTAGTGAGGCCAACTCACTCGAATACGACCACCAGTCCAGGGCTAGGAGATAGACTGCAGCAAGAAGAGGTGGCGAAAACTCCCTGTGCGTGCGTGCATACTTTTCTAGGAAGACCTTCTTATGCAAGATAGGAAAGCTAGGGTGGACAATTCGGAAGTATAGGTGGATCAAAGGGGATCCGTGAGGTGCGACAGATATTTCTATCGCATCTAGATCTGGGATATCATGCTGGTGGTTGAGTGAGCCGACATCGGGCAATGTGATGAATGTTGTGGCGCCTATATCCTCCACTCGCCTCAACGTAGATGGTCCAGCAGACGAACCAGGATTTTGAAGGCCTTGAGTTGGTTCATATGCAAGTAGGTATTTTTCATACTCTGAGGTAGACCCAAGAAGGCGGCTGTGCCTACCAGTCTGCAAGCCCAGTGTCTTCTTCAGGAGTGAGGGACCACGAAGGTTCGCATAATCATCTATTGGTGGATCCTGACGGATCGTCGCGGGCGCATTGTGAGGTGATGTAGACGCAGCAGTACTGCTCCTGCGACTGTTTGGTGAGTATGCCAATAGATTTGGGATAGGTTCGCTGGGCTCTGGGCTGGCGTTGATCGTTAGTGCTCGTCGTTTTCGCGGTGGCGGGTTCTCGTTGAATGTGCATTCCTGGTGGTGAAAGCGACACAGAAGGCAGGGTTGATGATCATCTGGTTTCTCGCATCGTGACTTGCGCCGACGACAAGGGTCGCATGGGCGTCGTGATCTTGCTTTGGGAGCGTTTTGGGAGTTGATTGCTTGCGGGAAGAATTGGCTTGGTGCGAAAATCTCATCCGGGATAATTTCCATGACTGCTGGTAAAGATTTGGGGTATACAGCCTTCTGTGCGATAGACGGAATCCGATGGCATTGGCGATCCTAGTCTGCGGTTGATATTGTTGCTGTGACTGATTCATATCCGGTCAAGCAAAGCCTGGTAGCTTGTTTTGGTGCTCCCCAATACGCTACGAACATAGTTCATTAAAACAACCTTGATTCTTGGTGCATGTCGGATCTAACTATCCACCGTCGTAGTGAAGACCATTGAGCCAGTGGTCGTCTGCTTGACCATCAACGATGAGAGTGAACTAATTGAGAGGTCGTTGAGGCACGCGATAAGAAGCGGGAAAAGCCAAGCCAACCAGAGCGCCGATCAAGCAGGGATTGATCAGCTATATCACTAAGAGCAATGTCAACTTCATGGTGGCCAAAGACATGGGCATTGCAAAAACGATAACATAGGAACAAAATTTTCTTTGATGCAGCCTCAATTTTTCCACAAGGACGAAACTATTCCTGGCGTAGATTTCTAGTAATAATTATTTAAACTACTTGCTTTACTTCCTTCGCTTTCGCAACCGTTGTTTCCTTGGTTGAGACTTCTTCGCCTTCGAGAACAGACGATGCGACATCTTCGAGCTGTGGGGGATATACAGCGAATTCAGCCAGTGAATTTGTTGGCACAGAAATGTACGTACAAATCACATAGTGTGTGGAGGTCGAGAGGCAAATTCCAAAGGCCCACGCGAATGTGTAAATCTTCCATGCCCCACTGATTTCAAGTGTACCATCGATGCTTTTCGCAAAGCCCGGCAAGAGGGGCGCGACACCCGTAAGAAAAGACACCCAGGCTCTCCAGTTCCAGCCATAATCATACCAGTAGATACCATGAGAGGTGTATAGCTGATCGACGTCGAGCTTACTCTTCTTGACAAGGTAGTAATCGCTGATCATTGTGCCTGCAAGAGGTCCCATAAGGCAGGAGTAGCCGCTGAGGAAGGCAAGTAAACCTGACGCATTCCTGACAATATTCCAAGGCGTGCAGGCAATGGAAAAGATTGATAGAAAGACG